TAGTGGATATTGAAAAACAGAAAACAAAATTTAATTTCTAGAACAGTGTTATCAACGTAGGTTGTCTCGATAACAAAGACTTGCATGATACAATTTCATCGTACAATTACGTTTCATTTTCTTATCTGGAATGATCATACTGCCGCTTGTGCCACCAGTTATCGGGCACGCTGTATAATAATAAGTAATCATTTAAATCAACTATGCAATATAAATGTTAGACGAATTAGAATTAATATTTAAACACGTTAACGTATGTTTAATACAAAATAATTCAAATATTCATTCAACCAATAATCTGTTTTAAACTTAAAACATCGTGTGAATATAAACAGAATATTCTTACAGCTACTCACACGACCAATTACATGTTAATTACTATATTAATCGGAAATAATTCTCAAAACACAATAATACACATGTAATAAGAAATAATAATATTCATTGTATCGATAATCTATTATAGTTTAAATAACGCGCTTCTATTAACAGAGTATTGCTCATATTTCAAACACTTGTGTTTTGGTGACATGTAACGGAATTCATTTTAAAAAATTTGACGATGCCACTTATCGCATAAAAAAGTAATGTGACAAGTGCATCGACAAATTATTTTAATATACAGCGTGTTCGGCCACTCCTGGGAAAAATTTTAATGGGGTATTCTAGAGGCCAAAATAAGACGAAAATCAAGAATACCAATTTGTTAATGGAGGCTTTGTTAAAAAGTTATTAACGTTTAAAGTGTTACATATCATTCATGCATGGGGCTGAAACGTTTGGTGACTTGGGCGTTGGCTCGAGCATCTAGCGAGCAACCCTTTGAACGGGGTTGACTCATGCCGTATGCGCACACCCGGCCCAATTTTCATTGCCTTTTATGGTAATGCCCCGCCTTAGTACTGAGCATTTTCAACTATATAAGGGCCGCGGTTTCTTACTCGGGGAGCTCAGTTTTACCTAAACTCTTGGCACGACGTTACTGTGACACTCAGGGCAAGATCGGGCTATAATCCCCTTCAAGCAACTATCTACGACTATCTACCTTAGCGGTTTATCAGTGAGTGTCCATTAATCGAGTAGAGCTCCCGCGAACGCGCCGCGTTAAAAGCCGATAACGAATCTTTCGCCTTCGAGGCAATTTAGCAATTGTACAACTTCTTGTAAACCCATAGCTGTACTTGGGCATCGTCAAAAATATATATTCAAGTTATTGTTCCTTACGTGTGTTATTCACTCAAGGCAACCCTGAACCATATTAACCGTAAGGCTAGGGGTATCTCACGAACCCGGTACACCTATACCGCTCGAGGTGTACCATCACGACAGAGAGCAAGATCCTAAAACATCCTAAAAACCTACGTGGCTCCCAGGGTATAAAGCCCCTGGTTCGTCCACTCCTACTAGCGGCTCCCAGGGTATAGAGCCCCTGGTTCGTCCGTGAAACCATTCATTTTCCCTATAAATCTAACCCCGTGGCTCCCAGGGTATAGAGCCCCTGGTTCGTCCACGTAACCTCCACCTACGGCTCCCAGGGTATAGAGCCCCTGGTTCGTCCGGACCTCCTTTCTTTTCCTAACCATACCCAAAACCACCGGTCGAGTACTGCCCCTCGACCGAATCCAGGATCTCGCGCTCCCGCTCGTAACAAAAGTTACGCCCGTACTGAATTTTGTTCTCGAAAATGCGCAGGATTTCGGAAGTATATGTATTCAACAAAAAAGATTGTAATTGACCCCCGCAACCAAAAATAATTTTTCCAGAACGATTTGAAATTTTTGAATTTAATTGTTAATAACTTTTTAACGAAGCCTCCATCAACAAATTGGTATTTTTTATTTTCGTTGTATTTTGGCCTCTAGAATACCCCATTAAAATTTTTCCCAGGGATGGCCGAACACCCTGTACAGACGGCTTATCCAGTCAACATGAGTAGAATGTAAACAAAGATCGAGTTTCTATCGAATCGAACACCACAATTTATTGATAAATATTTATTTACTGTATAATCTTATATTAGTAATTCGGATCTTACGACAAACACAATTATATTGTGGAACAATGCATGTAAACAAACTCGTGAGTTTTTAATTTATTATCAAAAACACTGGAATACTGTCTGAGTTAAATACGAAATTTGTATACGAACCGTAGTCTTTAGTTGTTTCTGTTTCATCGTAAGCACTAGAAACATTGTCAACAACTTAAAGAGGTTGGATATTTAAACTAATTCGTCTTCAACAAGAACGCTACCGGAGGAACTTTCAAGCGTAGAAAAAATAACAAAAACAGGAACATACCATAATGCAGTTTTCCCTATTCGAGAGATTAGATTATAACAAAATTAATAGATGTATACATGTACAACGACCGAAATAATGATAGATTTACTATTCATATTTATACGTAGTCCTTTTTTTCGTATCGCAACGGTATGTTCCAACATCCCTTGTAACAAATACTTCAGTTTAAACAGCGTTCATTTTGAATTCAAATTGATGACTGTAAATAAAAAATATAGAGGGTTTGGAGCGATATAATTTTAGCTTCAAGGTGAATTTACTTCTTTTAAATATTTTTCAAATATTTATGATTTCTGGGTTAATTTGAAGTTAAACTTGCGCTATAAATGCTTCCGTACCATAATGGAGCGTAGAAAATCGTTAAACGAAACGATACAGAAAAGAGAAATGTTACATATAGTGGGATGAGTGTGTGTGTTACTGTCGTGACGAATGTACTGGAGTGTTGCACCATTCGGCGTGTTACAGTTATACAATTGAGCGTACACCTATGTTGGTAATGAAAATTGATAAAATAAATACTAACACACACACTGACTAAGAAAACAATATATATTTTATTTATATACTTTAACAAATAACTCGTAAAAGATATTTAAATAAAATGAAGTATTTGTTTATTTATTTTAAGTATGCTGTAAAATATACTTATTTTAGTGACACAAAATTGCCCTGTACGTATAGCGACTTTCAAATTACACAGGTCTACATTGGTTGAATGTAGTATTATTAAAGAGAAACCCTTGCAGAATGTCATTCAAATTACGGTTGCTAAGATATTAAAAACAAACGACTGTTTCTTATCTGTCAAGCGTTCATTATTAGCAAAATGGTTAACAAAAGAGAAGAAACAGATAATTACAATGCGTAAACTTATCAAAAAGTTGTATTGTGAACGAAAATCTTTTCGTGAAGTGGGAAAAATAGTAGGGAGAACTCATACCTGCATAAACTTATGTCTTAACCCCTAAAATTAACGAAATTATGGCTGTTTAAAGGACACGATAATCAACATCATTGTTATAGGCATATAAAACTTTAAAAACGTTTTTCTCGAAACTGTTTTCCAAAATGGTGCCCACAAAATGGCAAAAACTACTCGACCAATTGGCTTAAAATTTTAGATACACATTCAGTATATACATGTATGACTATAACATGTACCAAAATCAATTAAAAAGTTTTATTTCTTATATTTTTTTAGATCCCAGAAGTTAAAGAAAAACATGAAAAAATCGTTAATCTAACTTTAAAGTGTTGCCATTCTTTAAATTATGGACTTTTCTCTTTTATTTCTCTACTGGTTATAGCCAAACTAATTAAGAATCTTTCACGTTTTTTCATTTCAAACAAATAGAATGACTGAAATCATGGACACCGTGCATACAAAATTGAGACAGATTGTTAATATTGTAAACAAACTATTTTGCACTTTAAAACGTACTACATATAGTACTAAACATAACTTATAAAAATTATAATTATAAAAACGTTAAAAAATGCATTAAGAAAAGAATGGTGTAAAATTATGTCCAATATCACATCCAAGTTGGTTAATTAAATGCCAAAGAGGTGTAGTGGCATTACACAAGCAAATGAAAATCTTATTATTGAATTTTCTCGAATTTTTTCGAAAATTATTTAAATATCTATGTTATTTTTTTTATGAAATTTATTCTAGACGTTTAAAAAATATGTGTAAATTGTTTGTATTAAAATAGTTTATCAATAAACCGAGTTATACAAAGTTTCATTTTAAATTACTCACTGTACGAATACTTCGTACACTCACTATATGTACAATAACAGTAAATCCAACTAAAAGAATCAATAGATTAGTATTCAGGAAACTATTATCAGATTATTAAAAGAAATCAGCGATTATGGAGAACAGAATATCAGCTTTCAAAACAACTGGCATCTATCCACACAGTTCGGAAATGAATAACAAACCAAAAACAGAACAAACCGTATTTTACGTGACTATAAAAAGTACACAGAAATATAGAGAACCAAGACCTATTTTACCGTTGAATGAGTTCTGAAAAAAAATTATCGAGAAAAAAGCATGTTTCTATTATAGTTTTGAGTAAAAAAGGCTATTCCATAAGACAAATAGCAAAAAGAATAATGATTTCAAACACGATATACGAGATCTGTTAAAAAAGTAACCAAAATTTATTTTTCCCATTTTTTTGTGCTGATATATGGACTATTGGTCCTTGTCACCTTCTAAGTATTCTCCTCCGCGACTGATACTTATCCCCGAGGTGTTTCCACTTCCGGAAGCACTCCTCGTAAGCAATTCATGGAATGCCTTTCAGAGTCTTTGCCGAATTCGTTTTAATTTCCTCAATTGTGTCAAAACGTTTTCTTTGATTTTCTAGGACTTGTACATTAGGAATTATTACCTCAAAGTCAAACAGGTAATTGTCATTATTACTTGACGTTTTGAGACTTTTAAGAGAAAGAGAGAGAGAGAGTGCGAAAGAAAAGACCCGAACTTTGACGAGAAAATATATGGCTGCTCCACCATGGTAATGCACCTTCTCATTCCGCTTTGTTAATCTGGGAACTTTGTGTAAAAAATGACATGACTGCTCTTCCCCAACCTCCCTATTGTTCCCCAAGTGAAAATCAGTGTTGAATGAGAGACGTTTTGACACATTTGAGGAAATTAAAACGAATTCGGCACAGACTCTGAAAGGCATCCCAGAAACTGCTCACGGAAGTGGAAACTGGGTTCGCTACATCAAAGGTGACAAGGACCAATAGTTCATATGAGCCCATAATTATGAAAGTGTTGTAAGTCAAATTTAAAAAAATGAGTTTATCAGTTATTTCACAACACATTATTTTAAACTAAATTAATTCAATGTAATTTTTTATAATATTGTCAAAAATTAACCATTTATAGTGGTTGTAATTTCAACATTATATGGAATTCATTTAGTGTTAATTATGAAAATGGTCTAAGTCAAAAATTTAAAGAAATTATATGTATAATCATAACCCTAAAATGGCACGTGGCCCTCTTTGACGCGTTTTTGAACTACACAATAAGCCGACAAATGACAATCAAACAATAACAGAAACGACAATATTTTCCGGTCTACCTAACAATATATGGTATTCATTTAGTTCTATTTTGAAAGTGCATTAATTCAGTTGGGCTCTTCCGAACTAATTACACTGTTCTACAAATTCAATTTTTTTTTCGGTTTTTCAATACCCACTAGGTGATTCTTGTAGAGCTTTGTACCCTAAACACGAATCTGAAAATGGAATTGCTGTATCACCCTCAGTTTTCGAAAAACACGAGTTTTTGTGAAAACGTACAATTTTGGGCAAAAGCGAGGTATTACGCGAAAATTAAAAACATCAGACAGTTCCAATTAATCTTAAAAGATAGAGGAGAGATTCCTGAATATGCTAACATCGATAGTTATAATATTTTGTACTTTTGAACGGTTGTAAATGATCGCCAAAGTTTGAAAAAGTGTCGAAGTACATACTTTATACACAATACTTTTGCATATTTACGAAAAGTTGTTTACCTGACACGAAATCTATACACAGGATCTGATTCTGCAGACATTTCTAAAGAAGAAACTGTCCAACAGAAGTGTAAAAGCTGTTCTCAATTGTCACAGGTCGAGAAAATGTGTATTTGCAACGCGTGCACGGCGTTTTACCGCCACGCGGCCATCGCTTGCTTATCTCGGCGCGGCAGTGCCGTAGCCACCTACAAGCGAAACTGGTATAATGGTGCAATAGGATATGCACTCTGTATATAGTATGTTTGATTTTTTTTTTGTAACTTTTATTGCTTAATATATTTGTATACTCTAGGATACTAATCACTGAATTATATTTTCAAAATCCATGTAAACTTATCAATGGAATCACTCGAACATGTACGCTTTTCTAAGAAAGATCTGGAGTAAATCCTTGCTATTCACACTTCGCTCTTAGGAATATTATTCCTATTCTGTGAGGCAACCCAACAATAAAATGTTGTTTATTTTTTTACGGCTTTATATTTAAAAAACCATTCATATATATACAATGAACATTGAAATTGTTTAGTAATGGAAATGATCGAGAAATGTTTTGTACAAATCCACAAACAGATTAAAAAATAAAAAATGATAAACATATACAGGAATTAGGAGCCTAAGATATTATCGGTGTCGCATCCATTATGCGTAGCTACGACACTGCCGAGCCGAGGTAGGCTAGCGATGGCCGCGTGGCGGTAAAACGCCGTGCACTTGTTGCCAATACACATTTTTTCGACCTGTGACAATTGAGAACGGATTCTATACTTCTGTTGGACAGTTTCTTCTTCAGAAATGTCTGCAGAATCAGATCCTGTGTATAGATTTCGTGTCAGGTAAACAACTTTTCGTAAATATGTAAAAGTATTGTGTATAAAGTATGTACTTCGACACTTTTTCAAACTTTGGCGATCATTTACAACCGTTCAAAAGTACAAAATATTATAACTATCGATGTTAGTATATTCAGGAATCTCTCCTCTATCTTTTAAGATTAATTGGAACTCTCTGATGTTTTTAATTTTCGCGTAATACCTTGCTTTTGCCCAAAATTATACGTTTTCACAAAAACTCGTGTTTTTCGAAAATTGAGGGTGATACAGCAATTCCATTTTCAGATTCGTGTTTAGGGTACAAAGCTCTACAAGAATCACCTAGTGGGTATTGAAAAACAAAATTCGTGTTGAACAGTGTTATTGGCGGAAAAATAATTTATATATTTTATCACTATGGCAACAGATAGCGGTTCAGGTAAGTTAATGACAACGTACTTATTATGTGAATATGTTAATTATTATTCAAATATGATGTGATTTGCAGATATTATATGAACACGTAATACTTCAAAGAAATGGAAAAGAATAAGACAATTATCATCTTCAGATGAATCATACCAAGACTTCACTGCAAATTTAGAAACCCCAGAAATAGTGCAAAGTAAGAAAAGAAAGAGGACAGGAAATGAAAGTAGTTACGCACAAAATATCAGAAAAATTAAAAGAAATAATGGCAAAGAATACACGACAAAAAAATCATACCCTGTGAGTGCCAACATTTTTGAAAATAAGGATTGCATTTGCTCAAAAACATGTTCAGATCGTGTAGAATATAATGAAAGAAATCTAATTTTGATAATTTCTGGAAACTAAAAGATTTTGAAACCCATGTAGCGGCCATTGTATAGCCACTACGCCCTTGCCAGAGTATGAATGGGAATGGAATGTAAGGATAGTTTTAAGCTTTCTATTTTTCCATTTTCCCAGGGTCTCGTGCGAGCCTGGTCGTCCTGTTAAACACTTGGCGACCAGAGCCGTGCGAGGCGTCTGTTTTCCTTCAAGGTTTCGCCTGGGCCTCGGACCACCCTGATCCGGGCCCGGCGAGCCTCTTGACTTTTATGACTCTCTTTCGCTAAACTTCTCCTACACTGAGTATTTTCCAGTTTCGTTTTTCCGTCTTTCTGTCCTGTCTCTTTTTCTCTACCTTTGCTATTAGGGTAAGAAATTGTATACAATATTCAGGGGACGTGAAAGAAAGACCCCCAAACTATTTTAGACCTCTGTCTGATTAAGACGTTGTCGCCTTGCCAGTTTTAATAACCAATTTAACCTACGTGCGGCTACACCCCCGACACCCGCGAAAATAAACTGTTAATAATTGTTGGGGTAGATTGAGGATTGTTATTTGCACCCCAGCCCCCTCATCCAGAATCTATATCTATGTACATATGTACTACAGTTCATCAACGATTAATAAAACAAAGGCGGCCCAGAACTTTTAAAAGACCTATGAGAAAATGCAGCTACAAATATTTTCTGTCAAGAAATAATAATTCAAAAGTGTCGGTTTGGAGAAAGTTTTTTTTAGATACATTTAAAATTTCTGTAGGGCAGTTAACTCGTGCTCTGAATGCTGAAACACCTCAAACTGCTCGTCGTGGGAAGATGCCTGGATCTTCGCAAAAAACAGATGAAATTAAGATAACGGCTGTACGAGAACATATTTTAAGTTTCCCAGTATATGGGAGCCACTACACCAGAGCTCATCACACTCCTGGTCGAAAATATTTCAGTCCTGATTTAGATATTCGTAAAATGTATAGCCTCTATGTAGAGAAAATATGTGAGGAAAATAACCAATCATTATTTGTTAAGGAGTGCAAAAATGCGATTTACTGAAGGGAAAAATCAAAGCATGCAGTAATGAGGAAAAGTAGTTACATCTTAGACAAAGTCATGATTTACATTTGCAAAATGTCGAATGAGTTAGGAACTTTCTTGCAGAAGACCAGAAAAATGCAAAAGAAAATCCCAGGGAATATTATGGATTCTCATTTGATTTGCAAAAAGCACTCCCGTATCCAAAACTTTCTGTTTCGTTAGCTTATTATAAGCGAAATATGTACGTATACAACTTGGGTTTCCGTAATTTCCATGATAACAATGTCAAGATATACATATGTATGGGACGAAACTACAGCTTCAAGCGGTGCACAGGAAGTAGCATCATGCATTTTAATGCATATGGAGGATATAACTACTCAAAAACACGTAATAGCTTACAGTGATGTTTGTTCAGGCCAAAATTGTAACATTAAAGTAGCATTGATATGGATGAAAATTGTTTAGTCATCAAATAATAATATTGAAACGATAGACCACAAATTTTTGATATGTCGTCATTCCTTTCTACCGAATGACCGTGATTTTGGGTTGATAGAAATGAAAATAAACAAAAGCAAATTATTGATACAACCCTGAGCATTATTATGAATTGATAGAAAAGTGTAGAAGAAGAAATACATTTTTGGTAAAACGAATGTTGCAGCCGGATTTTATTTCAGCGAAATCACTAGAAGAGTCAACGACAAAAAAAATACCACGGGCGAATCTGCCTCTTGGCTGTAAATTCAATGGATGAGATTCTTGAAAAATGAACCTTATAAGATGTTCTATAAAACTTCTTTAGATGATTCTAAATACCACATTTTGGATCTTTCACCTAAAAGAGGAAGTCCAAAAATATATGGAAATATTAAATTACTTCCATATACACCATTACTAATTCAGTAACGGAAGAAGAAGTTTACTATCATACATCCCTCCAGTTTTTCAGGAACATTTTAAGAATCTTAAAAACTCATAATGATAAAAGCCTGAAATGATAAAAATGGATTACATTTTAAAAATAATTAATAAATATTCATGAACTATTTCATTAAAATTATTATTTCTAATAAAACTCGTAGTTTTTTACTGCTTTAAGTCATTTATAGGACATTCAGTTAATTTTGAAAATGGTCCAAGTTGTTACATATTGCTCATGTATGGGACCAAAACGTTTTGTAGCTTGGGCGTCGGCCCGATGATCTAGCGCACCCCGGGACGAGATTGACTCATGCCATATGTGAGCACCCGGCCCAATTTTCATTGCCTTATATGGTAATGCCCCGCCACTGTACAGAGCACTTTCAAGTATATAAGGGCCGCATTTTCTCACTTGAGCAGCTCAGTTTTCTTAAAACTCTCGAGGCGTCGTTACTTTGACACTCAAGGCAAGATCGGACTATAATCCCCACCGAGCAACTATCTACCTTAGTGGTTTTATTAGTGAGCGCTCATTAGACTAATCGAGAAGTAGCTCCCGCGAACGCGCCGCGTAAAAGTCGACATAGAACTTTCGCCATCAAGGCAACTTAGCAATAGTACTTGTAGTTCA